TAAGTGATTATGCCACTTGGCCCCAGCTTGTCCCAACCAATAACCCCTCCTTAGAAGATGAAGCTAGATATGAGAGGAATATTCCATCAAATCATTTATATTGGTCCAAACCCAAAATTAGATTTTAAATTTATTTTGAGAGTCAAGCTTCAGTACTACTAAACTATGTCTTTATTTAATTTTTAATTTAAAGGATTTGTGTACTTTCTTCCCTCACTTTCTTTCTCTCGCTTTTTTTCTCCCTAGGAGAGGTTATTAGTTGGTGTAATATGGGTTTTGGGACAATGCTTTTTGGTGTTATTGGTTAGGATAATGGAATTGGGACAATAACTTTTGGTATTATTGGTTTTGTGAGACACTACTAGGATAATTACCCCACATGGGATAAAACTATCTCACTCATATGGAAAAAATTGCTCCCAAGCCAAAATATGCCCCCACTCTCATAATGGAACAATTTGAAATAAGTGAGATAATTTTGGAACATTCATATATTAGCTATTAATATATATGCTAATCATATTAGCTAAATATAAAACAATTATATAATTAATATCATTAAACTTATTTTTAATATAGTATATTAATTATAATGTAATGCATTAAATTTTCATATTATACTATATTTATTACAATACAATAAAATAAAATATAATATGTTATACTACATTCTACTAAGCTTATTACTATAATATGACATATTAAATAAAAGTAATATTAATATTATTGTATTTTGTAATGCAATAAATTATTTATTTATTATGATGTGTATATTAAAGTATAATATATTTTATCATTTATAATATTATAAGAATAACATATAATGGATTATGTCATAATATATTATAGTACCATAAATTAAATAATTATAAATATAATATATTATAATATAATATATTGTACTATTTGAATATATTATATTAATTATTATATAATATAATATTCAATTATAATATAATATAAGTTATTATATTATACTTATATTACATTATTTATTAAACTATATTATAATATAATACAATAATTAAAATATAATTTTATAATATTCTAATACAATCTATGACATTATCAGAAACATGTATTGTAATATAGATTTATAGTATAAGACAACAAACTTTAATATATATTATATTATATTATTGAAATATTATATTAAATAAATTGTAAGTATATTATATCAATTATTATATAATATAGCATGCTATTATAATATAATAATTAATAATATTACTTAGTAATTATAGTATAACATATTGCATTTTAATAAAGTAAAATAATGTATTAAATTATAATAACATACTAAAGAACATACCAAACCAATTGGATAAATTAATTTAGAATTAATTGATAGATAAATATTATATTTTAATAAGGTGCCACATCATCAATTATCTCACATAAATTGTCAAATCAAAACTTTAAATTGTCACATTATTCCAATTTATCCCACCTTACCCCACTCAAAATATCCCAAAGGGATAAAATTGTTCCATTAGAACAATTATCCTACTTGGTCCCAGCTTATCCTAACCAATAACTCATTGTAAGAGAAAACTATGTGGTGAGGCCTACCATAAAAGTCACGTCAAACGGTGTGACTTATATGTACGTATGTATATCTGTGTGTGCGCGTGTGTGTGTTTACCCCACTCAAAATATCCCAAAGGGATAAAATTGTTCCATTAGAACAATTATCCTACTTGGTCCCAGCTTATCCTAACCAATAACTCATTGTAAGAGAAAACTATGTGGTGAGGCCTACCATAAAAGTCACGTCAAACGGTGTGACTTATATGTACGTATGTATATCTGTGTGCACGCGTGTGTGTGTGTATATATATATTTACCCCACTCAAAATATCCCAAAGGGATAAAATTGTTCCATTAGAACAATTATCCTACTTGGTCCCAGCTTATCCTAACCAATAACTCATTGTAAGAGAAAACTATGTGGTGAGGCCTACCATAAAAGTCACGTCAAACGGTGTGACTTATATGTACGTATGTATATCTGTGTGTGCGCGTGTGTGTGTGTATA